ATTGCTGTTTGGCGGAAATTTTCACGGTGTAGATACATGGTGCACAAACCAGGAATGATAATTCTCTTGGACCTAGCAGCATTTTCAAGAAAGGACCTTGATGCAGTCAGAATCAGTCTTCCCCGGTGATGGGCTCAGTTTTTAAAAGTCTCTGTTTCTCGAATGCGGCTGGAACCATAATCTCAGTTCCGTTCTGTACCTCACTGAGATTTTACTTCCTGGCGTTTCCCAGGAAACTCAGGTGTTTAAAGAAAAATGAACCCTTAAATTGAGTGTGCCCACACATCGGCAGGCATCAACCAAATGCCATTTTATGGCACAGATGTTTAGCAAAGCAAATGGGTGAGTGCTGGGCCAGGGGCACGCAGGTGAGGCTCTTATTAGGCAAATGGCCACTGATGAGCTGAAGGCAACACTCAAATCATTTCGGGACCTGAGCACACCAGGTCTGCCAGTGGAAAATCTCATGTAGACCTGCCATGTCTCCTCGAGATACAATTTTCTGTAAGCTGAGAAATGTATTTCTTTTCTGGGACACTGAGTGCGTTTTTGTTTAAACTGTGACTCAACCCAATATTGAGAATCAACTGAACAATGGATTTCAGCTGGGGTGTCCTGGGAGCCCAGGTATCCTCCCAGCCATGGGCCTTGTCTTTGCTCTCCTTCCTCCAGAGTGACACTAGGCACACTGTAAGGTTAGGGAGAGGGCTCAGTGGATAAAGTGCTTCACTCAGATGTGAGGAACCTGACTTTTAATTCCTAGAACTCATAAAAATCCTGATGTGGTGGTGTACATCTGAAATCGTAGCACCCCTGTGAAAAGATGGAGACAGAGACTCTCCCTACTGTCAAAAACCACAGGCCATGCCTCAGCAATGTGGAAGGAGAACTAACTTCCTGTAGGTTGTCCTCTGATTGCCACACATGTGCGCACAGCATGCGCAAGCAGGTACAACACAAGGACTGAGCACAGGATGAGAAGCCCGCTTTCTAAGAGGCACATTTTGTACAAGAGAATGAATTGAGTTTATGGAGGATGGAATGTTTTCTAGAAGAACAATGCTTACCCTTTAAAGGCAAGGTTAGCCAACATAACCCCTGTGATGTTCCCCTATCCCTGGAGTATTTGTGTAATAATGCTCCCCCATCCTTGGAGTGTGTCTGTGATAAATTTGGACAGGGTTAGCCATGGAGGCACATCTGTGTCATGCCATGTGGGAATGGTACCCAGGGAACCAGTGGATTCAATTCTTGCTGCCAAGGAAGAGTTACCTCTAGATACAATACTTCCCACCCCTGCATGGAATGGATCCCAGGTCTCTGTGTGATGAGATGGAAACATGCAGTTAGTGCTGTCCCTTGTCTCTGAAAGGCTCCATGCAGAGACAGCTCAGGGTGAGAATGTGGAGTTTTCAGTGACTGGTGGTTAAAAGGGGATCTTCTCTCACTTCCACAAAACATAAGGCTTTGTTTGGGGTGGCTGCTTTGAAGGAGCCATTTCAGTGAGCACTGATAACTGGGGGAGAAAACTGTTGTGCATAACTCCTCTTGGGTCACGTGGCCCGTTTGTCCCAGTTTGGCACTGTACAGAGGTGGCACTGCTGAAAGAGAGGACTAGGAAGCCTCGGTATGAGGGAATTTACTGGGTGGATGTTTACTGCTCTGGGAGTACCCAGAGTATGAATGCAAGGCACTGAGTGTTGGTGCATATCTTGGGGTTCAAAGCTCCTGTCAGAATCTCAAGTTCACAACCCAGGCATGTTTAGGATGTTTACCCTACAGCAAGGTAAACTAAGACATGCTAGAAAAAACAAATGGGAGAGAGAACTTTCAGCTGTCCACAAAACCAACAGAAGACACCATACAGTGTTCCTAACTGGTAGTGAGTAAGAGAGAGTGTTGTGGGTATGCAAAGAATGAGAAAGTCACAAAAGAAAAGACACACTAGAGATTTCTGAAATGCCAGAAATCAAGATAGAATAAAGGACAGAAATTCCTTAAAACACACACACACACACACACACACACTACTACATCATAAAAGACGACTCTACCCTACTGTTATATAAAAGAAGGAGTCCGGGACAGCACACCAGACATTTCACAGAGCACACTCCTAAAACAGTGCGATGGAGCTGGGATGAGCTCAGGATGGCCAGTTCTGGACTTCTTGTGCAGTAACAGGTTTATAGCCAGAAACTGGCCATTATAAATCAGCTAAAAGTGAAGCCCTTTCCCCCTCTGTATAAAGCTTCTAGATATAAAGTAGCTTGAGTGCTATCAGCAGTAACAGAAATACAAAAGGAAATGAAGTTGTGACAAGATGGAATATGCAATAGTTTACCTTATTCCTCTTGGTACTTGCAACTGAGAGAGAACTGAAAATTAGAAGAAGGAAGACTACCGGGTGAACTCTAGACTCAAGGAATTACGCAGTGGTGGGTTCTTCTGTGTGCACATGGTACATGGCAGAGCCCCATCCAAGATGTGTAAAAGGAGCGATGAGAAAGTAGACTAAGTACACTCTGGAAATAACTAAATGGCACCAAAGAAAGCCTCTTCTCTTTATAATAATCCTGGGAAGAGGGTTGTTCAGCAAATATTTGACCATATATGATTTTTTTTTTATATCTCGACCACAAAGAAAGCCACCCCTCCCTAAAATAATTGGTCACAGTACTTTTCTGGAGCAGAGACTGTGGAAATAACTCTTGGTGGATTTCTTATCACTGCACAATCCAGACAAAAGGGAAGGAGTCCTTCCCACAAAATAGCATCCTAAAATTCTATACCCAGGGGGGGCTGGAGAGATGGTTCAGAGGTTAAAAGCACTGACTGTTCTTCCAAAGGTCTTGAGTTCAATTCTCAGCAACCACATAGTGGCTCACAACCATCTGTGGTAAGATCTGGTGCCCTCTTCTGGCATGCAGGGAGAAAACTGGAAAATAAACCTTAAAATCTATACACAGCAAAAATATCTTTCATGAATTTAGACAAAGGGATGCTAATAATATGTCAACAATAGGCTTGCTTGAAAGAATAATGAACAGAAGTCTTTTTTCAGGCAGAAAGGAAGTGATGAGATGTAGAACATCAGGAAGGTGGAAGAGCTGACAGGATCAATATATGAACTCGTATAAGCAACTCATTGGTTTAAAGTGTGTTTGGCTGAAAGCTAAACTTCCATTTGATCCAGGTATGGTGGTGAACACCTTTAATCCCTGCACTCAGGGAAGAAAGGCAGGCAGAGCTCTGTGAGTTCAAGGCCAGTCTGGTCTACAAAGCGAGTCCAGACAGCCAAGGCTACATCGAGAAACCCTATCTTGAGAAAAGATCCCCCCCCCAATCCATTTGAAGTAGTCCTTGATGCCCATTAAAGGCCACTTAAAATACGTGTATATGTGTGTCCAAGAGTATGTGTACCAAGTGCAAGCCTGCAGAAGTCATATGGGTTCTAGAAATTGAACCCAGGTCCCCTGCAAAAGAGTAAGTGTTCTTAACCTGTGAGTCATTTTTCTAGCTCCAAAGGCCATGATTTTAAGACATTTGTTATTTAAAAATGAGGGCAACAACATCTAAAAGCTTGGATTTTCTCATTTTTCCTGAAGTAATGTTAGTAAATTTTGAAAACATGATTACAAGTGTTACGATCAATTGATAGGACTCAGTGCTGCTGAGCCTCCCACAAAAGCACAAGGAAAACCCGCAGAACACCTAGCCCAAAATTTCCAACTGCAGAGGAAACAACAGTCGATAGATGAACCTCAAATATTAAGAAATATTTAAATCAAAACAAAGAAAAATGATCGGCTCAGGCACTTTTATCCTTGGCTGCAATTAGCACCCTTCTCAGGAACTGATTAAAGTACTAGGCAGAAAGGAAATAGAAACTTTTTTTTAAAATCTATCAAAAAAGCAAAGCTTTGAAATACCAATCTTTGTCTTTTGCATCATGACCTTGCTGGTATCACCGTGATACCAGTATCACATGCGATACTCCAAACATTTAACTTCGTCCAGCCATTTAGAGATTTGTGTATTGTTCAATCTCATATTTCACTTGAATCTTTCCGAAAGGAATACAGAACTTCAACTGAATCTTTTCTAAGGGAATTAAGAACTCCAAAAACATCTGTTTAGATCTTTCAAATGAGAACTACTTGTAAAACAAAACCACAGCTCTCAAACATATCTACTTACTAACAGGTAATTCCATGTCCAAGCAGCATGCTGCTGTTAAAAGAATATTTTCTAGGCTCTGTAATGCCAAAGGTAAGGAGAAACAACTTGAAGGCATAAACAGGCCGTAAAATTATGTGTATATAGAATAACCTCTATGTTAAAGATATAATTATACATATATAAAATAATGGGTAAATACAACAACAGCATTTAAGAATGAATGTGTTTCATTATTCATATTGCCAACAGTACCCAGTGCCATTCTCAGAATGTTATGGTTGAGATCCTAGCTTCTTCAGCTCTGGGTCGCTAATTCAAAGCCAAGTGTGATCTGAACCTGTGCTGGTCTGTCAGCGCTCGCCCATGCCACTGCAGCCTTGGTTCTGAACACCACACAAAGTACCGTATCATGTACTACTGACAAACACTGCCCAGAATGCCTCAGGTCAGAATCAATTCTGTTAGGTTTTTCTGCTCCCACAGAAACAAAGGCAACATGTTCCTATCACTTCTGACCTATGTATCCAGAGTCCTATCAAAATTCCTACCGTGCTCACGGTAGAAAAGTTTTAAGTTCCGGTTTAGGTGATCGATTACACTAGCATGGAAACAACTCTGAATATTTTAAACATTATTACAAAATAAAGAGTCAGACGATTACTATACCGCAGGCATGGTCTGTGGGTTATCTCAGTTAACTGTCGGATTAACCGAATTCCATATAACGCAGTGACCATGTTAAACAATTTGCTCAAGTTGAAATGTTAGCAAGGAGCAGAGCTGAACTGCATCCTACCCTGTCAGCATGGGAGGCATACCTGGGCCTTCCTGAGAGCAGGATTGGCTGGCAGGGGCCTGGCAGGACCGCAGGGTGCACGTGGGGCCTGGTGGAGGGGCAGGAGCACTCGCTGAGCTGCCTGGGGCTGAGTGTTGAGAGGCCTGCTGATGTTGATGTTCTGGCATTGCAGAGAGCGCCTGTCCTGCGTAGTCAAAGCAGAGAGTCAGCTCTGATGGGTTTTCCTATCCGTTAGCAAGGAAAGAGCAGTGTTTGCTGGTCTGTGATCACTGTCTGTGTGAGAAATCCAGGGTGTCTGTACAAAGGACAGACTTATTTATGCTTCAAAATTCTAAAGGAAGCACCCCCTAAATCTGGCATGGAGAGATGTATGTTTACATAGATTAGAAACAAACAAACGTTAAAAACCAAAACGGTAACAGCATTTGGAAGGCTGAGGCGAGGGGACTGAGAATTTAAACCTAGTGTTTGCTACGGAGAAGATTCCACTTCAAGCTGCTTTAGTTAACAAATAGGTGAAAGAAACTTGAAGTACCAAGTCGGAAGACACAGACTGGATCCCAGGGTGTAAGCTCAGTGTGCACAAGGCTAAGGGCGCCTGAGAACTGCTGCTCCAGGGGCTGGGTGCTCATCTCTGGACAAGCTTCCCTGTGCTTGGAGGACCAGAGCAGCTGGCTCGGCACTCCATACTCTTTATAAATACCTTCATTGGGGTATGACCGTTACCCAGTTAACTGAATGCATTAGAATGTACTTAATGTACGTAAGTATTCTTAAAAAAAATTTTTTTTTTATGAGACAGGGTCTTTCTGTATAGCTCTGGCTGTCCTGCAACGTGCTCTGTAGATCAGACTGGCCTTAAAGGTGTGCACCACCACCACCACAATCTGGCTAAGTGTTTTTATTCCTTAGCCAACTTTCTGTTCCGCATCTGTGTTTTTTGTGATTTGAACTGAAGATGCTCCTCACGTATTGAGATTGCAGGCACGTACTGTGATTAAGTCCCTGGCTTGTCACAACCATGGCAATGTGTCTGTCACTCGGGAGAGCGTCCTTGTCACTTCTGACTCCTCCCACCCGAATCCCCAGACCTTGGCATCCTTTTGTACCATCCTAAATGAGTTTTCGTGTTTTAAAGTGGTATATAAGTGGTGCAATAGAGTATGTGTTCTTTTTTGGTTCTTTGGCTTGGGATCCCTGCTTTGAGCTTTACCCCTGATGTGAGTCTGTGGCTGACTCTGTCTTTTTGCTGAGTAGAAACCACTGGATAATATCCCACCATTCATCCTTTAGCCTGTTGGTAGACCTTTGCATCATTTCCAGTTAGCTCTTGCTTTTTTGGCCCTAATGAGAAACCATACCTTTCTAGCTGGTGGTTCCAGGTTTGTGGATGAGAGTGATGGCTTCCCCTTTAGAAGCCAGCCGCTACGTTTTATACTTAGAGCATTAAAACGATATATTGCCTGCTGAATTGATGATAATATTCTTTTCAGTGATTTCCCATTTCTTGATATCTTGTTCCCTGTTTTAATTTGAGTTTGTGTCAGTGAGACATTGTATTGCTGTGACAGAGCTCCCGGTGCGAGCAGCTTGGAAGGAAGATCTATTATGGCTAATGGTTTCAGAGGTTCAGCCTGTGGTTGCCTGGTCTCCTGTTCTTAGGCAGAACAGTGTGGCAGAAGTGTGCACAGAACCTTCGGATAGACAGAAAACAGGGAGGTAGGGACAGAAGACCAGCACAGCCGTCAAACCCTCTCTGCTTCCTGTCGTTTTCCCCCACCTCACTAAACAGCACCACCACCCAGAGGCCAAACATTCAGTACATGGGCCAGTGGGAGAAATTCACACTGACACCATAATGGAGTTCAATATACAAGAATTCTGTGGATAAGTAAAACATGGAGATGCTGAGGAGCTAGGGGGTACCTAAGGGTAAGGGTATAACTCTGTGAAAGAATAGAGTGAGCACAGATCCTACAGTTCTGGGCAAAACTGAGGCTCAGCAGAACTTAGACACAGGCCAGAAAGCTCATCTGGACATAGATGATGCCCCCTGGAAACTCTAGGAGAGGCCCAGTACAGGAATCTGCTCTGGCTGTAATCTCTATGGGAAACTGAGGTCAAGGTGAAGTTCTTGGTTTATGATAGCCATATACCCCACTGTCTGTCTGTCTTATCAGAATCTTTTAGGGACCTCAGAGGGTTGCTCCTCTTTGGGGCCTGACCAATGCAGGACCAGTGGGTTATGGCTGAACCAAAGGCGCCAACTGTGCATTCCACAGGAATGATAGAGCCCTGTCTTCCCAGGCTACCTCATGCCTTCATAGCATACTAACTTCTTGTGCGACCTACCTTGGGGGTAATGGAATGTGGTGGCTGGCTTGTCAGCAGGCCTTTTCTGAGGGTGGGGTGAGCCTGGCCAAGGTGAGAGCCGCTGGATGTCTGGGAAGGGCGCACACACCTGCAAGGCAACCGGACAGTTCCTAAGCAAGGGCTTAACCTCCTCCTTGCCGTAACTCCTCACATCCCATTCCTGGTCACTTATTTTAACTCCATGGGACAAGAATGTAGGGAAAAAATGAGCTAACATTCCTTTGTGATGAAAACATAAATACTGACTCCTGCTTTCTAGCCACTGTTTTGTCAAATTAGTTGAAAACCATAGAACCTTAGCTTTGGGTACAAAGGAGATGTTTTTCATGAAGCTGGCATTTCAGCAATAGTGTCTTCAAGCACATTTGGGCTGGAAGCTCTGCCACCAGAGCAGCACATTCCAGTGTCCACATGTCTTGTAAAAACTACTAATGCAGAGATGAGAGAAGACCCATTTGTGGAATTCACCAACACAGGGCTCATTTATGTAACAGCGCGTAGTTTGAAGGGAGAGCGAAGAGACAGCTGGCCTGGCAGACATTTACAAAAACAAAAACAAACAAACCCAAAGACCCAGTTTACTATTCAGAAAATTCTCCCCCCTCTTTTGCTGAGGACGACACAGTGAGAAACAGCTTGTTGAACGTTCTTTCAGCCGTCATGTTTTAGAAGAGATGACATACCTTAGTTTTTCGATGGTGGTTTTTTTATGTGTGAACAGTAACCGCATTAACGTCTTCCTTTTGAAGTATACCACAAATCCAGCCATGAGCAGACACAGGACACTCACCAGGATTCCTACAGTCAAGCCCTGGTTATCTGAAACAAAACACATTTGGCTCAGGGGAGGAGGCCGTTCCAATAAAATATGGGAGACATCGCACTGTGACATTTATGGCAGAGTGAGCTCTAAAGGAACAAACAGAACCACAGCACGTAAATCCCTGAATGACGTCCTAATAAATTAGTCTCTCTTCAAAGGTCGTGTCTGAGCTCTGGTCTACGCCACCATTATTCATCAGTGACAACTTTGGAACTTGCTAATGCAGGACATGGTCTGGTAGGTGGGACCCTGGCTGGACCACACAGGTTCCTCTAGGCACAACCACAGCAGAGTGAACTGTGGAGCCACACAAAGTACCAGGGCCCCATCTTATCAGGGTCAGAGGCTCCCAAAATGTCACCTTAGACCCCTCTCCACCGATCCTTGATTCTAGGTTCTGTTCACACTTCACTCTGACTTCTATCTTTCATTCGTTTATTTATTTTTGAGTGAGACTTCATTTTGGGGCATCTCAAATTAGAGAGTGAAAAAAGAAAAAAAATAGCCTAAATGAAATTACCCCTGGGTTTGGTTTCAGTCTGTTAGAGACTTAATACCTCCAATAAGCTTGTTAGTGTTGGGACTATGCTGTGCAAATTCTCTAAGAAAATGGCAGAGTATAAGGCTAGCATGCAGGAAGCTCTGGGTTTGTTCCCCAGAATGCCACAAACTGGATGTGGTGTTACGCGTGCCTGTGACCCATAGCACTTGGGAGGTGGAGGCAGGAGGATTAAAGTTCAAGGTTATCCTTGGCTACATAGCAAATTTGAAGCTAGTATGAGATTTTTTTTTAAAGGTATCTTTTATAACTGTTGCTCTATAGTACAGCTTGAGATCAGGGATGGAGATACCTCCAGAAGATCTTTTATTGTAGAGGATTGTTTCAGCAATTCTCGGTTTCTTGTTATTCCATACGAAGTTGAGAATTTTTCTTTCCAGGTCTGTAAAGAATTGTGTTGGCAATTTGATGGGAATTGCATTAAATCTGTAGATTGCTTTTGGTAAGATGGCCATTTTTACTATGTTAATCCTGCCAAGCCATGAGCATGGGAGATCTTTCCATCTTCTCATATTCTTCCTCTAATTCTTTCTTCAGAGACTTGAAATTTTTTTCATACAAGTCTTTGACTTGTTTGGTTAGGGTTACACCAAGGTACTTTATGTCATTTGTGGCTATTGTGAAGGGTGTTGTTTCTCTAATTTCTTTCTCAGCCCTTTTGTCTTTTGTATACAGGAGGGCTACTGATTTTTTTGAGTTAATTTTGTATCCGGCCACTTTGCTGAAGGTGTTTATCAGCTGTAGGAGTTCCCTGGTAGAGTTTTGGGGGTCACTCATGTATACTATCTTATCATCTGCAAATAGTGATAATTTGACTTCTTCCTTTCCCATCTGTATCCCCTTGATCTCCTTCAACTGTCTTATTGCTCTAGCAAGGACTTCCAGCACTATATTGAAGAGATATGGAGAGAGTGGGCAGCCTTGTCTTGTCCCTGACTTCAGTGGGATTGCTTTAAGTTTCTCTCCGTTCAGTTTGATGTTGGCTATAGGCTTGCTGTATATCGCCTTTACTATGTTTAGATATGTGCCTTGTATCCCTGATCTCTCCAGTACTTTAAACATGAATGGATGTTGGATTTTGTCAAATGCTTTTTCAGCATCTAGGGAGATTATCATGTGGTTTTTTTTCTTTCAGTTTGTTAATATGGTGGATCACATTGATGGATTTCCGTTTATTGAACCACCCCTGCATACCTGGGATGAAGCCTACTTGGTCATAGTGGATAATATCTTTGATGTGTTCTTGGATTTGGTTTGCAAGTATTTTGTTGAGTATTTTTGCATCAATGTTCATAAGGGAGATTGGCCTGAAATTCTCTTTCTTTGTTGAGTCTTTGTGAGGTTTAGGTACCAAGGTGACTGTGGTACTGGCATAGAAACAGAATCGTGGATCAATGGAATCGAACAGAAGACCCAGAAATAAACCCACACACTTAGAGACACCTGATTTTTGACAAAGATGCCAAAACCATACAATGGAAAAAAGATAGCATCTTCAACAAATGGTGCTGGTCCAACTGGATGTTTACATGTAGAAAAGTGAAAATAGATCCATACTTATCACCCTGCACAAAACTGAAGTCCAAGTGGATCAAAGACCTCAACATAAAACCAGACACATTAAATCGGCTAGAAAAAAAAGTGGGGGATACCCTAGAACTCATTGGTACAGGAGAAAACTTCCTGAACAGAACACCAACAGCACAGGCTCTAAGAGCAACAATCAATAAATGGGACCTCATGAAATTGAAAAGCTTCTGTAAAGCAAAGGACACCGTCATCAAAACAAAGCGACTGCCTACAGATTGGGAAAGAATCATCACCAACCCTTTATCTGACAGAGGACTCATATCCAATATATATAAAGAACTAAACAAGCTGAAAAACAATAAACCAAGCAATCCACTTAAAAAATGGGGAACAGAGCTAAAGAGAGAATTCTCTGTAGAGGAATATCGAATGGCAGAGAAGCACTTAAAGAAATGCTCAACCTCATTAGCCATTAGGGAAATGCAAATCAAAACAACCCTGAGATTTCACCTTACACCCATCAGAATGGCCAAGATGAAAAACTCAAGGGATAACACATGCTGGAGAGGTTGTGGAGAAAGGGGAACCCTTCTCCACTGCTGGTGGGAATGTAAACTTGTACAACCACTCTGGAAATCAATCTGGCGCTTTCTCAGACAACTAGGAATAGTGCTTCCTCAAGATCCAGCCATACCACTCCTAGGCATATACCCAAAAGAGGCTCAAGTACACAAAAAGGACATTTGCTCAACCATGTTTGTAGCAGCTTTATTTGTAATAGCCAGAAGCTGGAAACAACCCAGATGTCCATCAATGGAGGAATGGATGCAGAAACTGTGGTACATCTATACAATGGAGTATTACTCAGCAATGAAAAATAAGGAAATCATGAAATTTGCAGGTAAATGGTGGGACCTGGAAAGGATCATCCTGAGTGAGTTGTCCCAGAAGCAAAAAGACACGCATGGTATATACTCACTCATATAAACATACAACATAGAATAAACCCACTAAAATCTGTACATCTAAACAAACTAAGCAAAAGAGAGGACCCTAACTAAAATGTTCAATCCCCATCCTGAAAGGCAAAGAGGATGGACATCAGAAGAAAAAGAAAATAGGAAACAACCTCGGAACCTGCTACAGAGGGCCTCTGAAAGCCAGAAGAAAACAGGAAACAACCTTGGAACCTGCCACAGAGGGCCTCTGAAAGCCTCTGCAGTATAGACTGTCAAAGCAGATGCTGAGCCTGATGGACAACTGATGGGCAGAGTGAATGGAATTTTATGTAAGAAGTGGGAAATAGTAAGAGCTGAAGGGGATGGGAACTCCACAAGCAGAGCAACAGAACAAGATAATTTGAACACGGGGAACTTCCCAGAGACTCATACTCCAACCAAGGACTATTTGTGGAGATAACCTGGAACCCCTGCACAGGTGTAACCCATGGCAGTTCAGTGTCCAAGTGGGTTACATAGTAATGGGAAGAGGGACTGCCTCTGACATAATCTGATTGGCCTGCTCTTTGATCACCTCCCCCTGAGGGGGGAGCAGCCTTACCAGGCCACGGTAGAGGACAATGCAGCCACTTTTGATGAGAACTGATAGACTAAGATCAGAAAGGAGAAGAGAACCTCCCCTATCAGTGGACTTGGGGAGTGGCATGCATGCAGAAAGGGGAGGGAGGGTGGGATGGGGAGGGGAGGAGGGAGGGGCTTATGGGGGGATACAAAATGAATAAAGTGTAATTAATTAAAAAAAGGTATCTTTTTTTTTTCTCTTGTGATTTGATGTCTTTTTACTTATCACCCATGGGAAGGAGGAATCTGTAACCCACCAGCTTGGTGTCTGTCTGGAGCCATAGGTAGAGGCCATCTGGGAGATGCTAGGAATCATGGGAGGCTTTCTTTGGGAGTTCATCAGAATCATGAAGTCCTGAAGAACAGGGACTCCAACTAGCCTGTCTATCTACCAGGAATGTTCAGGTTAAGCTGCATATTAGGCGCCTAACGTGCCCCGCAGGCTGCTGGGGAGCCAGGCTCTGCCATGCCCTGCCTTCCTTCACCACTCAGCTGCTGGTGATCCAAGCAGCAGCTGCCCGGCTCTGGGCACAATGTCCTGCTGTCCTCTGTCTCTCACTTTGTCCTCAACTGAACTGTCCTAAGAGGACTACCATGGCCATCTTCCTCCAGCCATCTGCATAACCGGAAGAGTGTCTTTGCTGGTTTTCTGATCAAATGCCATTCCTTTCAGGCTCTTAGTAGCAGCCTGGGGCTTCCGCTAGAGTTCTGTTGCCTCATAACAAATCTAAGTAAAAATTTTCACTTCCTGACATCAAACTATAAGTCATAAGCTGATCTGTATATCCAATCAAACTCCTGCTGGAACCTAAATGGCACTGGGACACCTCAGAGTTGCCTGTTGCCACGAGTGGCAGTACCATCTACTGAACTGTCCAAGCCAGTGTCTCAGACAGCATCATGACTCCACTGCCCAATCTGTAACCTGGGAGCTGACCTCAGTGATTGTCACCCTGTCCTTCCCCACCCTGATTCCAGGCCTTGGCATAGCCAGTTCTCTGTGCTTGATGTCTACTCTGTAGAGCTCTCTTTTCTAAGACAGGGTCTCATAGAGCCCAAGATGGCCTGAAATTTGCTACATAGCTCAGGATGGCCTTGAACCGATCCTCCTGTCTCCATCTGCCCACTGCTAGGATGACCAGTGTGCATCATCCTATTCCATCTTGTACCCAGGATTCCATTTAGGGCTTCGTGTATCCTAGGTGTGAAGGTTTGAATAGGAATGGCTCCCATAAACATATGTTTGAATGCTTGGCTCATAACGAGTGGCACCATTAGTATGTGTGGCCTTGTGGGAGTACGTTTGGCCTTGTTGAAGGAAGTGTATCGCTGTGGAGGCCAGCTGTGAGGTCTTATATGCTCAAGCTATGCCCAGTGTTGCTCTCAGCCTCCTCCTGCTGCCTGTAGATCAAGATGTAGACTTCTCAGCTCCTTTTCCAGCACCATGCCTGCCTGCATGCCACCATACTTCCTGACACGAAGATAATTTCAACAGGTATCCTCTGAAACTGTAAGCCAGCCCCAATTAAATGTTCTTTATAAGAGCTGCTGTGGTTATGCCTCTTTGCAGCAATAAAACACTAAGACACTAGGTAAGCATCCTGTTGCCTGAGCTTTAGCCCCAGTTCTTCCTGAAGACATCAACAAACCTATCATGGTCCTGGGAGCGTTCTTATATCTCAGTTCTGTTCCTATTTTCAATTCTGTTCTCTGCCCATAGTACCCTCTCTTCCCCTGCAATGGCACCTCTCATGCCCTATGGTATCTCCTTAATGCTTCTCTAAGATCGCAAGAAAACAAATATGCATGGATTTTTGCTGAGGGAGTGGTGGGGCGGTAGTCAGGCTGGTGGACATCATCAGACTGAGGGACAGTGAGGCCAAGACAACTGATACAAATCAACATGCTAATGAGAAAGGGTGGAATCTCACTGGCCCCACCCCTAGACAAAACATTACAAGCAACCAAGGAATGTTGGCAGGGGGAGACTCAGTTTTCCCCATGAATAAGCCCCCTAATTAAATTTCCAATACCAAGTGGTCGGCCCTGAAATCATACATACAAGCAACAAAAACAGATTTAAAAGGTATTTATATATTTATACCTCTTTGTGTATGTCTGTCTGTGTGTGTAACAACAATTTATTTATTTTTTTTTAAAGAGGACATTATTTGAGAGTGAGTGGGGTTGGGATATCTAGGAGGATGAAGGGAGGAAAAGGAGGGTGGTGATGTAATTATATTTTAATTTAAAACCATCTGTTTTAGAATGATGTGGAGGCATCTGGTAGAGTACATACCGATTAACACTATACCTGCCCATAATGAACTGATTAATGCCGACGGCCACTGTGAATGCCGTAACTGGTCTGGCCATTCTCTTTTCTGTGCGTGGTGCGTCTGCATGTGTGGGTGCACGTGGAAGGAAGAGGTTGACATCAGGTGTCTTCCTCTATTGCTCTCCACCCTATTGTGGAGACAGGGACTCTCACTGAATTTAGAGCTCATCAGTTTGGCTAGATTGGCTAGCCAGCAAGCCCCAGGGATCTTCTTATCTCTGCTTTCCCAGTTCTGGGATAATAAGCCAAGTGTGGACCACCATGCTTAACTTCTTATGTGGGTTCTGTGGACCCACACTCAAATGGCAAGCATTTTACTGACTGAGCCATCCCCTCAGCCCAGCACTGGCAACCCTCTTCTTTATTAAGAGGTAGCTGTCATACCTCTTGCATATCATTTTCCTCCTCCTCCCCAGCTTTTCCTCCTCTTCTTCATTTTTTTTTCCTTTCTTTCTTTTTTTTTTTTTAAAAGACAGGGTTCCTCTATGTAGCCTTGGCTGTCCTGGACTCACTTTGTAGACCAGGCTGGCCTTGAACTCACAGAAATCTGCCTGTCTCTGCCCTCCCGAGTCCTGAGATTACAGGTGTGCGCCACTGCTCCCAGCTGCATGCTCATTTCTCTCCTTCTCTCTGTCTCTCCCCTTCCCTCCTCTCTCTGTGCTATCACTCTGGTAAGAGTTTTTAAAATGTACTGGAGTGGCAGCATAGAAAAGCTTCCCCTTACAAAGTCCTTTGATATGACAGTGACATTCATACACATTTGGCAGTTCACTGTGGACCCTGGCTCTGCTGCCTGGAGCAGGACCCATGGCCAAAGGAAAGGAAAGGCCGAGAGAGAGCAAGCGCTTTTAGAACTTGCAGGCTTCAGGCTGGAACAGAGGCGCTCAGGGTCCCCACTGTGGGGAAGCCTGCCCAGGATCCACAACCCTCAGCAGCAAAGCATCCCGAGGTTCCACTCACCTGCTTGCCGGATGGGACCACTGTCTATGCTTCCTCCAAAGCCGAACTTGTCACAGAAAGGAGGGGCCCAGTGGGCCTCACAGTGGCAGTTCTTCCTGTTGTTACATACCTTTGGGGCAGAAGTGGAGGAAAAAAAAATATCCAGAGGGGGCAGGGTTAGGACACGGAAGAACAAGGGTACTCTGCCAGATCCCTTCAGGCATACATGTAGACTGAGTAAATGCAAGAGAATCTGTTCCAAACAGCACCTACCATGGGGTGGATAGAGCCTGAGGAGGTGTGAGTGGTAAAACCAGCCTGTGGTCAGGAGCTGCTGTTGAGATCCAGCTCACTTTTCCTGCTCTCATTTCTTTTCAACCTGGGAAAGCTGTGGAGCTCTCCTTCTTGGTGGTAAAGAGGAACCCACTCAGGGACCCAGAATCAAGCCACTGTGGCCTAGAACTCTCTTCCAGACAGCAAGCTTAGGGAGGACCCCCGCAGGCTGTAATGAGGAAGTAGGCCTACAGCAGGACCTCTTATTTCCTGGTGTCCATGGTAGTTCTCGGGGGTCTGCCAGCATCTCTGTGAGTCTACTTTTCTCCCCAGATGCCCACTCTTTTTTTTTTTTAACTATTTTTTTTATTTATGTATGCAGTATTATGCCTTCATGTACACCTGCATTGCCAGAAGAGGGCACCAGATTTTATTACAGATGGTCGCTAGAAGAGGGCACCAGAGCTCATCTTAGATGGTTGTGAACCACCACGTGGTTGCTGGGAATTGAACTCAGGACCTTTGGAAGAGCAGCCAGTGCTCTTAACCTCTGAGCCATCTCTACAGCCCCAGATGCCCACTCTTTTAGCCCCTTGTGGCTATTATCTGCCTCCTTGTTACAATGCATCATAGACAGAGACAGTAGCATTCTTCCTTGTGAAGAAGAAGGCAGGAGAGGGTGCTTTTGCCCTTGCTGTTCCTGGACAATGCGCCCTGATGGGAGACTCAGGAGTCTGTCCATCTCCTTGCCAAGAGCCACTCATGGTGGTCCTATTATCTAGATTTCCTATTGATGTTTACATAACTCACCAAACTGTTTATGAACCAACTGTTATGATATGTGAAGAACAGATGGTTTTTTTTCCTTCCTTAATTTTTAGTTTTTGAGACAGGGTCTTATGTATCAAAGGCTAGGTTTGAACTAGCTATTTGAGCAACAATGACCTTGAATTTCTGATTCTCCTGCCTCTAGCTTTTGAGTGCTGAGAGGTTATAGGTGTGTCCCACAACCAGCTTTCTGAGGTACTTGGGATCAAACTCAGAGCCTTTTACATGCTAGCCAGCAGATTAGGGAGGGGCAGGACAGTGGTGGCATGACTGGAGAGTGCTGTCCAGACCAAGGGCTGTGAGCCCGGTCATGGACACTGGCAGTCTGTGTCTTTCTTGAGGTGGCTCCCTGCTCTAATTGGCTTCTGAGAAGAATCCAAGCATGTGTTCAGTCAACAAAGCCTGTGAGAAGCAGGGATTCACATTCGAGGACCCTCCTGGTAGTCAGGATGCAGTCTTTTGCAGAGCACCTGCAGTCACCAGGCTATCTTTCTAACGGTTGTAAGGGATGGACTAACCCAGTTCTTTTGTTTTAGTGATGAGGCCAAGGCTCACGTGGCCTGGATGGTGTGTCCACAATAATGTGGCTGGTCAAGAGCAAGTGGGTTAGACAGCTCTCTAGCATCTGTGGTAACCCTGCACACATGGCAGAAGTGCTCCTGCTGGCAGACCACCCATGAACCTCACACCCTGTCTGGTGCGGTCCTAGCTTGAGTCAGGAAATGGCAAACCCTACTTGGAAGTGCTGGTGGTAAGCCTGGTGTCATCATGGTGGGGGGGGGGGGGACTGGAGCCAAGCTACTTGTCACCAAAGTGTCTTAGTTTCTTTGAAGTTGGAATAAAATACCCCGGGGTGGGAGAAGCTTAAAGCTTGGCTCATGGTTTCAAGCCCATCACGGTATGGAAGTCACAGCGATAGTAGCTTGAAACAGGTAGTCACATCACATTCACAGTCAAGAGTTTGAGAGCCATAGAAGCTCAGCTTACTTTTTGCTGTTTATACAGTCCTAGATCCCACTCCAGGAAATGAGGCTACCCATAACAGGCATGTCTTTCTACCTCAAGTAACCTAGTCAAGATAATAGTCCACAGGCATGCCTGGAGGTTCCTCTTCCAGGTGACTCCAGATCTCATACAATGGACAGTTGAAACGAACCATCACACTAAGTCAAAGATGGCTGTTCTTGAGAATATGGGCCTTGGTATGCCAACTTGTACAAGAGATCCATAGATACCAAAAAGAGAGGCCTCTGGCCTACTTCTGTTGGACCAGCAAGTTTACTATGGACACACCTCATAACCATGTTGGCCTTCACCTCATCACCAAAACAAAAGGGCCAGGTTAGTTTATCTATCGCCATTAGAAAAAAATCTATAGTCCAATGAAGACATGAAAAGATTCCATTTGACTGAGTCAGCTGTATACAACAGCAACACGACTGTCTGAGGCAGACCCGGCAATCTATCATTGTTACAGCATGGTGGTGATTTTGCAAAGACCTCCATAATCCCAAGTGTCTAGATATCCTAAAAATACAATTTAGAGCACGGTTTCTGTAGAAAAGGCTTCAGAACAAATGAGCCACTGGCACAGCTAATCAAGATTAATATAATCCCATTGGAAAAAAAATTAACTGCATCAGGAAAAAGAAATTACGTTTTGAACAATTAAGAGTCCTTTTCTTCCCTAAAGCTTCTCGAAACTCAGCAGCATGTGGTAGTCAAAACCACCGCAAGGGCATTCAAGAACACATGGTTGGTAGATCTGATGTCCTCATTTGAATCCCTCTTGCAAGTATCTTGGTTGAGAGGAATTTGGGCTGTTGGGAGGAACAGGGACAGCCCTGCTTGAAATGCTAATGTGAGCCCTTCACCAAGCAAGGTTAGCTTCGGAATTACTTTGAAGATGACAAAATTCTTTCTCTATATCGCAGGATGTTAATTCAAAAGATAATTACCTCTCAATCTGATTTTCTTTGTTAAATGAAAGTGACATTTCTCCTGCTATGTAAAGGTCAGAGACAGTGAACGCCCCTGGAAGAAAATGTTGAGAAGGCAGTCACTGACTAACTGTGGTTTTAAAAAGCTATGGCTAGTAGGGGCCAAAGAAGAGATGGCTCAGCAGTTAAGAGCACTTGCTGAGGTCCTGGGTTTGGCTTCTAGCACCTACAATCATCTGCCCCTCTCTCTGGCCACTGTGAGCACCGTGCACACGCATACATACATGCAGGCAAAATATCCAGGCATGTAAAATACATACATCAGGAAAATGAAAAACTGTTAGCTGTCTGTGGGCTGTCTGAGAGGACGCGAGTAATCCTACTTACCCCTCGGCCGTGGCACTGGTTTGCACACTTGTGAACTCCGAAGATGCTGATATTCTGACATCGACGATTGAGGCAGATCTGTGGGAGAAACACATCGATTGCCTCAGTACCTCTGTGCCCCTCCCCCCTACAGACACATGAAAAAGAAGAAGCCGGAGGCTTGAGAGGTGGTTCAGTTGGTAAAGTATTTGATGTGCCAACCTAAGGACCCGAGTTCAATCCCCAGAGCCCACGTTAAAAAAAAAAAAAACAAAACCAAAACCCAAGTGTGGTGGTGTGTGCTTGTGGAGACAGGGGGAATCTCTGGAACTTGCTGGCCAGCCATCCTAACCTAGTAGGTGGACCCTGGGTTCCAGTGGGAGACCCTGACTTAAAAAACCAAGTGGACGTCCCTGGGCGAGTGAGACCAGAAGTTGGCCTCTGGCTTCCACAGGTCACAAGCGTGTACGCATACTCGCACACCTTCCATACAAAGACATGAAAGCGAAAGCAAGGAAAACTTGGAGAAGGCTCACATTTTCGTGAGCCTAGATGGAGCGTAATAGCTTACGTTGCCTCAGACATCACTACCGGGGCCTGACTCAACATTTTGTCCAGTGCGAGCAGCGTTAAGTTCTTTTTATACTTAATGACGCTTAAGAGGGTTTTAGAGGAGATGAGAAATAATAACTCTTTTCTCATGAGTTTTGTTTAGGGCTTTAGGTCACTGGTGACACAAAGCGTCCACAGGAATGTTCCCTGAGGTCCCATTTCTCCAGTCACTGCAGAGGCTTCAATTTGCGGCAAGGCCTTGGCTAGTTGGATGTGGTTGCCTCTTTCAGCAATGCTCGGCACCTTTCTCTCTTGCAGCTTTACAAATTAGTGGAGAGAAAGGAAGAAGAGTTCAAGGTTTAGAATACAAAGAGTTTCTTCATCAAGTAGAACCTTCCTGTGGGCAGGTGGCCTTCTCACCCCAACAGTTGAGAGGGCAGGGTGAGTGTCCTTTAGAAAAAAAAAAAACTTCGGCAGAAGGGAGTGAGTATGACGTGGAAAGGACAGGAGCTCCAAATATATCTGGGCACAGGGGTCTTTTCTAAGACTGACACTCCACCAAGGACCGTGTATGGATATAACCTAGAACCTTTGCTCGGATGAAGCCCATGGTAGCTCAGTAACCAATTGGTTTCCCATAGTAAGGGAAATAGGGACTATTTCTGACAGGAACTCAATGGCTGGCTCTTTGACCTCCCCACCCCCCAAGGGAGGAGCAGTTCTGCTAGGCCACAGAGGAGGACTCTGGAGATACCTGATAAAACAGGGTCAGATGAAAGGGGAGGAAGTCCTCCCCAATCAGCAGACTTGGAAAGGGGCAGGGAAGAGATGAGGGAGGGAGGGTGGGATTGGGAGGGAATAAGGGAGCGGGATACACCTGGGATACAGAGTTAATAAAATGTAACTAATAATAAAAAATTAAATTAAATTAAAAAAAAGAAACAATGGTGGGGTCAGTGGAGGAGGAGACCAGTGCATCTCAATTGATAAAGAAACCCCGAGGGTGGGAGCTGGTTCTGTCAGTTGAGTACTTGGCCTGTAATCAGGAGGGCCAGAGGCCCAGAACCCACATGAACACTGGACTGTAGCGGTGTGTGCTTGTGATCCTAACAGTTGGGAAGTACAAACAGGAAGACCCCCGGGGGGTCACTGTCTAGCCAGTCTGGCCTACTTGTCAAGTTCCAGACAGGTGAGAGACTGTCTCAAAAAAAAGGTACACAGCTCTGAAGGAACCATACCCAAGGCTGGCCACACACCCATACACATGCAAGGAGAAAGAAACGACCAGGAGGGCACTGCACAGAAGGATTCTGCCAGGAGTGCCCGTGTAGCCTTAATCCCTTTGGCAAGGTGGCAAGGCCGCAGGCTTCATCAGGCTTCATAAGCAGCAGCGTTCTTGGAATTCCAGCATTTGACTATAGCAGCCTGGCTTCTCAGACCACAGTTTACCAAAATGGGGGCTAGAATGTCCAGGCCTGAACAGAAGCCGATGCGCTTGGGGAATCTTCCTCAAAGGAAGTGTCTGGGGCTGGAGAGAGAGTCGGCATTTAAGAGCACTGGGGGTTCTTCCAGAGAACCCAGGTTTGCCTCTCAGCACCCATATGGTGGTTTTAACAGTCTACAACTCCAGTCCTGGGGATTTAAAGAGCGCTGGTTTCTGTGGGTACCAGGCATGTACATGGTGCATAGCTAACACAGGTAGCAAAACATTCATACACCTTAAAACAAAAAATAAAAATGTTTTAAAAAAGAAGAACTCTGGGTTCTGTCCTTTCTTCCCCATGACCTCATGAGAGTAACTTCATGATCATGGGAAAAATTGGTCCTAAAAATGCAAGATGATCTATAATGTTTTCTTAAAGTGTTTTAATTAATTTGCTATCATTTAATCTGATGGAAAATTTGATGAAAAGACAGACAAAATCAAAACAGACTGGAGAGGAAGCTCAGTCTGTAGAGTGTGTGCTGTGTAAGCCCGAGATCTAAGCAAGACTCTGTCTCAAAAAAAAAGGAAAAAATGACTGAGGAATGTAGTTAAGATTGTCCATGGGGCTCAAGTACACACGCACATACACACACACACACACACACACGCTCATACGTGTGCATACAAACTATACAACTCTACAAACTGCACAGAAGCAAATGGACACACACATACCCGCGCACATGCACAGACATAAACCAGTGTGGCGGAACACAAAATTCTAGTCTCTTCCTTTAAAAAGTTTGAACTTGCTTTTAGCTCTAACACCCATCTCAACCTTCCTCTTCCCTCTGCCCAAAGGACTCCCTCTGTCTCTCAGCGGATCCCCTCTTCTCCTCTGCTCTTTTCTCTCCAGTCTCTGAAGATGTACCCGATTTTCCATTTCTCCCAGGTGACAAGCCCCCAAGAGATCTGGCATTTCCCAGATGCAAAATGCCACACACACACACACACACACACACACACACACACACACACACACAC